AACATATAAAGTGCCACATGTACTTACATATAACTTATACATCTGTAATATATAATTATATATACTGTAATATATCAATAAAGGTAAAAATAAATCTGTGAGGAAATTAAATGTTTCCTTCTCTCAGAGACCACATGAAAATTCAGAGCAGGCAGGAGTTGGCCTTTGAGCATTTACATTATTTTGTGCGTGCACACACATGCACACACACACGCGCACGCGCACGCACACACACACACACACACACACACACACACACACACACACACATATATCCTTACCCTTCCTGGCATCCAGAGAAGGAAGGAGCTCACGCTGTCCTCACTGCAATTGCTCTAGAATTGGGAAGAGTGAGGTTACTTATCAATTTGTGACTGTAATGGGTCTACCCTGAAAGCTGTGTCATTTATCTCTTTTTAAATTTTATTTGTTTATTGTGTTTATTCATGTGGATGTTTTTCCATGCATGAATGTCTGTGCATTCCATGCATACAGCATGGAAGCCAGAGGCGGTCATGCGATCCTCTGCAACTGGAGTTGACAGTTCTGAGTTGCCATTTAAGTGCTGGGAATAGAACCCCAATTCCTCTGGAACCTGTGTCCCCTGGAAATGCAGCCAGTGCTCTTAACCACTGAGCCATGGCTTCAGGCCCTCTGTTAATTCTTAATCAGCACAAATTTTACATCTGCGGTTATGTCCAATTGTCAAGTTTCTCTCTCTTAAATTATAGAAGGGGCAGGGTCCTAGCTGAGGAGTGAAAGAAAGCTGTCATAGAAAGAAGTATGACCTGGCTTTTTCTACCCTCTCTTTTCCTCTCCACACAGAGTCATATGAACAGCACTTAGCTCTCTCAAGTCTCCCCACTTACTAGATTCTGTTTCTTCTGCCTGGACTAGCCCATGCCCTGCCATGTTGTTCCATTACCCCATAATCCAACAGGCTGAAAGTCTCCAGTCCTTCTTGCCTCCAGGTACCTAGCTCCTCTCGCCTTCCACACCAAGTGAAGTATGTCCTCAGATACTGTTCTACATCTTTCTATGGAGCTGTGTAGCATATGCTAAAGGAAAATTGCCTTGTTTATATATACAGAAATGTGGTATAATTTTCCTAATATTGTCAGTGATCCTTGCATTTTATTTGACCTTTCCTATGAGGAGTGAAGAGGAAAACATTTTTTCCCTGAACTATAGAAGAAAATAATATCACATGCTAGAGAAAAATATAAATCATCTTTTTATTCTCTCAATACAAAGAGATATTACTGGATCAGGGTAGTTCTCAGTAGAAGAACACTTGCTTAGCATGTGAAAGTCTCTGGGTTTGATCTCCAATACCCAATCAAATGAGGGAAGAAAACTATTGGGCAGGGGTATATCTCAGAGATATAGTGTTTGCCTGATAGGTGCTGGGGCTTGACTTTGAACCCAGTGCTACCAAAAACAAACAAACAAACAAAAAAGGAGGAGAAAAGGGAAATGTACTTTTAAAGGTATTTTAAGATAAGATGAATTTACTGTAGATTACCCAACAACTCTGCAGGGAGGAATAGAGCATTTGTTCTGTGGCAGTTAATAATGAGTGCTGATTATTCCCATACTACAAATTATATTTTAGCATTTAAAATCATGTAATTTCTTGTGACTAAGTTTATTTAAACTCATTTTTGTACTCTATTTTTATGTCTAACTTTGTATTCTTTCTTCACAATGGATACTACCAGATTATAGACATCCAGTCCTGAAAGGAAGAATTATCAATTACATTTCAAGTCCTATTTAAATTTTTTTAAACGATTTTGGTTTTAGTTAGGTACATGTTTGTATGTATGGGGTTGGGGTGGGAATGCTTACACATATGAGCCCAGTGTCTGTGGAAGCCAGAGGCTTCAGGTCCCCCTGGAGCTATAGTTACAGGCATCTGTGAGCCAGACAATGTGGGTGCTGGAACCAAATGCCGTCCTCTAAAAAGAGCACTATGTTCCCTTAACGGCTGAGGCTCATCTCCAGCCCCCAGGTATTTTGGCTGGTGAAGGTGACTAGAATTCATTATTTTGCATTTTAATTAAAAATGCATCTATATACTAATGACCTAAGTTAAATTTGTAAAGCTTGAGTTTCAAAAATTTGAAAGCTATGTGTACCTGGGTGGCTGTGTCAAGTTTAGGATTACCAGTTCAGTAATCCTAAAATCAGGTTTCACTAAACTAAATCTCGTGAGACCTTTTTAAGTGGGTCTTTGTCAACAGACCGTATTTTGTTTTGTTTTTGTTTTTTGTTTTGTTGGGTTTTTTTTTGTGTAGTGTGCTCATGAGCTATATGCACGTGTGTGCAAGTGCAGAGGCTAGCGTACCTCAATGTGGAGCCTGGAGGAAGACACCAGGTGTGACAGGCCTCTCATATAACCTGGAGCTAGGCTGGTGACTGACAACCTCAGAGACTCTCAGGGCTAGGATTACAGGAAGGCATGGCCATGCCCAAGTTTGTATGTGCAAGTTGAGGATTTGAACTCAGGTCTTCATGCATGCAGAGCACAGTACTGTGAGTCATGTCCCCCAGTGTTGCTTCTCTTATTCTTAATGGAGCATTTAGACTCAGTAAGTGATCATTACATCATTGTTCAATTCTGAAAAGGACTCACGAAGAGGACATTGCCCCACATACAACATCCTTTCTTTTTTTTTTTTTTTTTTTCAAGACAGGGTTTCTCTGTATTGTTTTGGAGGCTGTCCTGGAACTGGCTCTGTAGACCAGGCTGGCCTCGAACTCACAGAGATCCGCCTGCCTCTGCCTCCCGAGTGCTGGGATTAAAGGCGTACACCACCAACGCCCGGCTACAATATCCTTTCTTAAGTGTGATGCGTGAGATGAATTCGTTCTCAGCAAAGTGTTCTGTGCAGTCAACTCACTCTGTTGAAGGAGCAAAGACCCAATGGCGTGGAGAAAGAGGGGGTGCATGGAGTGGTTCCTCATGTGAAACTAAAGGATTTTTATTGCTGGTTGGCAATTCCAGTAAAAAAGAATTCTGCATTAATAATTCTGATACACTGTGTAATTCTAATTTTTATTTTGGGGGCATTATAATTTCTATATGGTCACTAAGTATAATTGTTTCAACGTCTTAGTGTAACCTTCAGTGTCTTTGGGAAAGATGATGTCATCAGACACTTCCATCAGGAATGAAAGTCCAAATCCCTTAGCCAGCCAAGCACAGTTAAAAGCATACAGAGTAACTGTATCATTTTGTTCCAACCAAACAGAACCGTACTGTAGGTTTATATTCTGTGTATCATATTTTGGAGGCGATGTAAACTAAAAAGTGTGGCTGTAAAAGGAATTCTGTAGGCAGTTCTGACAGTGTAACTGTCACCTCCCCATCCCACCAGCTAGCACAGCTCTGCACATATAGGATGTGGTTGGCCTCTGCTGAGGTGTCTCATAGTCAGGGCTGCAGGGTATGGAGCAATAAGAAAGACAGAAGGCAGAGAACAGAGAGTTTATTCTTATGTACAAACAGGAAGGCGTGGGTATTCCAAACCCACAATGTTTAATGTGAACTTAAATAAGATAACATTGGAAACTCAGGTCAGTATTCTTGGGAAGAATTTTTGACAGAAAAAAGAGATTTAGACAACCACCATGCTAGCATTTTAAGTAGATGTAATTAGACATCTGAAGTCCATCTGTCTAGAGCGATATGAAACTAATTCATTCCCCAAATGAAACTGTTTTTGTGACGGAACTTGGGATTTTGTGCAGTCCTTTGGGCAGCATACACCCTTACATGTGCATTTAAGTTGAAGTGATGTGGCATGCGTCGTGAGACAGGCATTCCTACTAGTGTATGACTTCAACTCAAAACTGTGTCGGTCACAACTGTGACCATAGCTGGAGCAGAAGTGGGTCTTTCCCTCTGAGGGATTCTGGCATAAGTTAAAGATGCCATGGTTTGCTTGTCTTAGACGGAAGTAAATGCAGCATTTGAAGAAATGACATGGCATGGTAAAGCCAGGAAACCTAAATGTGTTCAAGGTGGAGACAGTCAACATGATAGAGAATGGTCATGAAGCAGAGAGTGCTGTCTGCACACCCTGGTCTCCGGCAGGCAGGAACCAGGTCAGGTCTGAGACCTTCATGTGCAGGAAAGAGAGCTCTATACTAGTTCTTCTTTGTTGGTGTGACTTCTTTAGTTTAGTCCAGTTTCCTGCCATCCTATCCCAAATGACTTGTTCTCCTGAACCTCAGCACAAGCATTGGACTAGCTGTTTGTCTGCACTATGGGTAGGTGTGGTGAACTTACAAGTTCAGGTAGGTGGTGAGGCTGAGCTCATTGGATGATGGATGCGTTGAGAAACGGTATAACTAGGAAGCTCAAGGGAGGGAATCATCTTGTCTGCCAGGAAGTCCGAGGAAGGCTTCCTGGAGGAGATGACATTGACCCAGTAATAGAGAGGCTAATTTGGAGTTAGAGCTAAAGAGCAAAGAGACAGTGTTGTTGTCAGTGCGACAGTGTGAGCACTCTGGCTCAGCAGCCCTGTATGTGGATCTCCTGAGCCATCTCAGTAGCTCACACAGGACAGAATCTTTGGGGCTTGTGGTCAGAGCAATTGAGGTTTTTAAGGTTCTCAGATGACGCTGGTTCAGAGCACACTGAGACCCATCAGCCGCTGAAAGGACAGCCCATTAGGAGTTATGAAATACAGCTGGGAAGGGAGCTGGAAAAGGCCCCCAGAGGCTTCCTGTGTCAAGCCAAGGACTTTCTCACCTGTGACCTGCAATTATAGGGGGACCACTGATGCCTGATGCTCGATTGGTTTACATCGTTTTCAGATCCAGGGTTGTTTCCCAGGTTTAGAGTCCTTTCAGGGCAATAGAAAAAGAGGGGTGTGGGTCTAGGTGTACCTCAGCTTTGGTTGATCATTGAGATTGATGGCATTTTAATCTCTGGTTTGGGTTTGTAAACAGAATTATTGAAGCTTTTATAATGATTCTTCTCTCTTCAGGGGAGTTGGCTGCATCTTTGTTGAGATGATCCAAGGAGTTGCTGCATTTCCAGGAATGAAAGACATTCAGGATCAACTTGAACGAATATTTCTGGTAAGTTCTGTACAAAGTGCTTCTCAGAAAAATGTGTTTCTAATTAGTTTCTTAATGACTTAATGATCTGATGGAAATATTTTAAAGCATATTTGTCCATGTTGTCACATTTAATTCTAGCATTCTTTTCCTTTAAGAAGCAGGGAACCATTGACAAGTGTGTCATGTGTGGATAAGATGAAAAATAGTAAAAATGAGTGAGATAAGAGAAGCAGTATAGACTAATGGGCTGTAATTAATGTGTAGGTATAATGGTTCCATATAAAGTGTGTAGAGATCCAGCAACTTCTAAGAAGCTGGAGCTAGTGTAGGCCCTTCCCCCATTCGTTCGCAGTAGGCTTTGATGGCTAGCTGTCATCTGTAATATCGAATGTGGAGAATGGCTACGGGAAGCTTGGTGACCTTGGTGACCTTGAAGAGGAAACAACCAGGCAAAACTTGCCTCAGCCAGGTCATCTATGAGAAGTCACACGGTGGCATGACCCCTTGAGGTAATGTGAGGAAAAAGGAACTTCACTACAGGAAGCTTGGTGACCTTGAAGAGGAAACAACCAGGCAAAACTTGCCTCAGCCAAGTCTTTAAGACTGTGGTCATCTATGAGAAGTCACACGGTGGCATGACCCCTTGAGGTAATGTGAGGAAAAAGGAAATTCACTTCTCTCATCTTCCTCAAACCATAAGTCCACTCTGTGAAGCCAAGATGCAACACATTACAAAATTCCCTCATCATACTCTTCAAAACTTGCCATTGTCATGGAAAACAAGGGAAATCTGAAAAACTCTCCTAATCCAGGGGAAGCTAGGAGGATGTGGCAGCTCGGAGTAATGTGATCTCATGAATGACTCGTTGGATCATCAGGACACCATAAAGAAAAAGCAGTGAAATCCGAATGAAGTATGGGACTAGTTAATGTTCATGTACCAATGTGGATTTTTAATTAATTTTTATTATATTAAAAACAATCTTATTTTGCATACCAATCCCTGTTCCTGCTCCCCCTGTCCTCCTACTCCCCAGAATCTCCCCATCCCATCCCCCAACCACTCCTCAGAGAGGGTGAGGCCTCCCATGAGGGATCATCAAAGTCTGTCACATCATTTGGTGGCAGATCTAGGCCCTCCATAGAGAATGGGCTCAAAAATGCCCATTCATGCATTACAGATAAATTCTGGTTCTACTGCCAGCAGCCCCATAGACTGTCCAAGCCCCCCAACTGACACCCACGTTCAGGGGGCCTGGTTAAGTCCTATGCTGGTTTCCCAGCTGTCAGTCTGGAGTCTATGAGCTGCCCTTGTTCATGTCAGCTGTTTCTGTGGGTTTCCCCAGTATGGTCTTGACCCCTTTGCTCATCACTCCTCCCTCTCTACAACTGGATTCCAGGATTCAACTCAGTGCTTAGCTGTGGATCTCTGCTTCTGTCTCCATCATCTATTGGATGTAGGCTCTATGGTGGCATTTAAGATAGTCATCAATCTCATTATAGGGGAAGGGCATTTAAGGTAGCCTCTCCATTAGATTTTTAGATGGGGTCATCGTTGTGGATTCCTTGGAATTTCCCAAGTGTCAGATTTCTTGTTTAGTCATAATGGTTCCCTCTATCAAGGTATCTCTTTCCTTGCTCTCCTTCTCTGTCCTTCCCCCAACTCGACCCTCCTGATCCCTCATGTTCTCCTCCCCTCTACCCTTCACCCCTCCTCTTTCTCCTACTCCTTCCCCCACCCCCTTGCTCCCAATTTACTCATGAAATCCTGATCCTTTCCCCTTCTCCGGGGACCATGTATGTCTCTCTTAGTGTCGTCCTTGTATCCTGGCTTCTCTGGGGTTGTGTATTATAGGCTGGCTATCCTTTGCTCTATGTCTAAAATCCATAAATGATTGAGTACATACCATGTTTGTCTTTTTGTGACTGGGTTACCTCACTCAGGATGGTTTCTTCCAGTGCCATCCATTTGCCTGCATATTTCAATATGTCATTGTTTTTTTACCACTGAGTAGTACTCCATTATGTAAATGTACCACATTTTCTTTACCCATTCTTTGGTTGAGGGCCATCAAGGTTGCTTCCAGGTTCTGGCTATTACAAATAATCCTGCTAAGAACATCGTTGAACAGATGTCTTTGTGGTATGAGTGCATCCTTCAGGTATATGCCTAGGAGTGGTATTGCTGGGTCTTGAGGTAGACTGATTCCCACTTTCCTGAGAAACTGCCATACTGATTTACAAGTTTGTATTCCCACCAGCAATGGAGAAGTTTTCCCCTTTCTCCACATCCTCTCCAGCATAAGCTGTAATGGGTTTTTATTATTATTATTATCATTATTCTAGCCATTCTGACAGGTATAAGATGGTATCTCAGAGTTGTTTTGATTTGCCAATGTGGGTTTTTATTTCTTCCAAATGTACTGAATAAAGCTTGAACAAAAGAAATCGAGTGAAGTGTGTATAAGAATTCTCTCTAATATTTTGCAATCTTTATATAATTTTGAATTTCTTGGGAAAAAACTAAAGGCATACCTTGCGTTTTGACAAAGCTCTTGTGTTGTCTCTGTCTGTTCTGCTCTGTCTTGTTTGTCTTGGTGGCTTTGCACAGGCCTTACTTTCTGAAGTTGTTCCCTCATAGATTAGAGAGGAATGTGAACAGCATCCTTCTCAAAGGTCACTTTGAGCAATCATTGGCTCAGGAATAAGAAGTGCTTCTTAAATGGCCAGCACATAGTAAGCACAGGTTGTTTTCATTCATCATTTTCATGTCAAGTACTTTCACTCAGTGGAATTTTTATGTTAGTCTGTAGTCGTAAACATGTTATTTAAAACCCAGAGTAATATCTTGATAAAGTAAAGATTTTACTTAAAGTATTTAAACTAAACACATTGTGATAGCTCACATTCCCATATTTCTCCTTACTTACAAAACTCCCCTGTGGAACAAACCACTGAGGTGGATTTTGTTGTAGACCATGTCACAAGATGTACTATCATACATTCCAGAGAGGTGAGCCCTCCTCTTCAGTACAAGAATGGCAGGAGAATGCTGTACATAGATTGAAACTCTGTTGCTATCGTGTTTCCCTCAATGTCAGCTAAGAAATGATGAGAAAAGAGCTAGGAAACCAGAGAGCATGTGATTCCTTCATGCAGTGTCCCCTATGGCATAGCTGCTCTGTGATGACAGATGGAGAATAGGAGAGTCTCTGGCAGAGGCTTTCGACAGAGTCGTAGTGTTGAATTTTCTCTTTCTCCTAGAGGTTATCTATATCCATTTCATTCAGTTTTATTAGAGGTTATGTCTACAATACTGAAGTGGACACTCATGCATTTTTATAGTGGAAAATCCCTATAATGTCCAAATGCATAGAGGCTGAGATGTTATTCTCCAGGCCTCCATGCTACCACTTATACAAAATCACATTTAGTGTTTTGATACATACATGTCATTGATTTTGTATATGTACTTTAAAATTTTAATCATGCCTTGTCTACCATTTTGTAGCTCCCATTTTCATCTCTTAATATGTAACCAACACTTTTCCTTGGAGAAAATTCTGAAACATGTCATCATTTTTAATGACAGAATGTTTCACTGTATGGATGAGATATTATTTACATATCTGGTCCACTATTTTTAAAAAACTACTAGAAGTCACATTGTATCCCTATTAAGATGAATTATTAGAACTGAAAAAATCCTTAATGTAATAAAGTCAATTTTAATAAATTTGTTGACTATTCTTATATATCCATTGCTTCATCTACACACACAAAGCTCCTCATCTCCTTTTACTCAATAAAATCTCCTATGTTTTTCCTTGAACTGGACAGGGGTCTGTAGATTATTTGAGAAACAAATAATATTGAGCTAATTCTATTAAGAATAAATTATTCATATATTTATGAGTCATAATATGTGAACACTTTTGTTTTGTTTAATTTACTTAATTTTTTAAAGTTTATGTGTACGAGTGTTCTGCTTCCTGGTGCCCACAGAGGTCAGAAGAGATTGTTGGGTTCCTTGAAACTGGGGTTTTAGACAGTTGTAAGTTGCTATGCAGGTGGTGTGAACCAAACCTGAATCCTCTGAAGAGCAATTGTTTTTAATCACTTACCATCTCTCCAGCCCCAAAAGTTTAGTTGTTGTTACTCTTTTGGGTTTCCTGCAATCTAGCATAGCCTCATACTATTTATGTAGATGAGGGTGACCTAGACCTTCTGATCTTCCTGCCCCTCCTCTCAAGTGCTGGGGTGGCATGTATGGACCACCATGGCTAGTTTTACACAGGACTGGGGTTGAGCCTAGGACTTTGTGGTAGACAATTGCTCTACCTACTGAGCCATGCATTCAGCTTCATACTTGGATTCCTTATAAACATATCTTGCTTCCTTTTTTCTATAATCTTCATTTTCTTTGAATTATTTTGGACAGTTTATCCACAAGAATTCTTTTCCTTTTTTCCATTTGTCTGTTGACAAATATGATGTATGTAAACATGTTCACATGTGTGAGGGTGCCTGAGTGTGTGTGTGCCTATGTACAAATAGGAGTATGGAGGACCAGATTTGATTTTGGAATCTTTCTGGATTTCTCTTCTGTCTCATTCTTTTGAGGCATGTTGCCTTAATCAAACCCAGAGCTCACCAGTAAGGCTAGTCTTACTGGAAAACTTGTTCTGGGAACGTCCTGACTCCATTTTCTGAGACTGGAGTTATAAGTATTCCAACGTGTCTGCCTGACATTTAAGTGATTTCTGGGGACCCAAACTTCAGTGTAGCAATTGTCTGAAACACAGAGTTATTTCTTCATGAATCTTTCTACATATAAAACCATTGAAATGAATAATTTTAATGATGTATACTTTATATATTTTCTATATCATGCTAAATTATCTAAAAATTTAGCCTTCAGATTTGTTTAATTCCCATGCATTTGTTTAATTACCACTCAGTTACATTTTGAGACTAATTTCTTACATTTCTAGTTGGCTTTTAATATGGAATCCTAT